TAAAGAAACGTGTATTTCTGTTTTGCAAATGATGTAACGTTGTGCAAAGTTCAATCTCCACCTCCAATTGACGGCTTTCCACCGATGATGCTCTTACACACAGGCTACCAGGAGCAAGCGTAGCGCAATATTCAAAACAGATTAAGAGTGAACCCACATAAAGGAGAGATTTCGCTGGCGGCGCCAAACGTACTCTAATGATTTGCATTGCCATTAATAATAATTTGCAGCTGCCTGTAATCCCCTTTCCATGTGTGAATTGACATGCATTCAGGGAGGGCTATGTGTGTCCTGGACGTGTGATCTTTAAATGACTGCCACCTGAGGCCCTAGCAATACAGAGAAGACAAGTGCCACACTGAGCATCGACTGTCTACGTGTGAGGGAGATAGGGGGGGTAAAAAAGGGAGCGCCGTGGGGGAGATGGAGACGTATAATGACTAATTCACCGTTGCCATCGGAGATGCACGTACAGAGACACGTATAGGCCATGAACTGTAGCTCGAGGGAAGAGTCCCGGAACAGAACTGATCATCGCTGTGTGGAGGTGGTAGGAGGGTGTTGGGGGCTTGAGGGGTTGCAAGGTATTAATTTTGCTTTACAGATAACGCCATCTTATTTTCCCACAAGCTAATCCAGATAGTGTTTAGAGGCTGCATTTAGCTATTTTTTAGCGTCTATTTGTGTTTTTCTTTTGGTTTGGGTGGTTGATGAAACGCAGCTGTGTTAAACTAATGGAGACTTGTGTATTAATCAAGGTTATGTTATCCTCAATTCTTCTCTCATTAACATAGTGCTTTATAACTGTATGGCTTCTACACTCACCCCCTACTCTTTTACACACAACAATTGGTAATATGGCTAATTTGTGATATTACTGATTAAGCTAGTTTGCAGTGCACAAGCAAAAAGCATCATTATATTTTGGATTCCGGGCTGAATTCAGCCTCCGTTCACCCTCTCCAACTAGCTCTCCTAAATTCACCTTTCTTATTAAGTTTATTAAAGCCCGTCCACATACTGGATTTACCAGGTTCACTTCCTTCTCCCCTCCAGCACAGTACCTTATTCTGGCAGGCAATCCGAAGTGTGCTCTGAATAGGCCATTATGCACACATGAAGGCCATCATTTCCCCACCATTGGTCAATTTATCAAGCATTTATCTGTCGCCTTCTGAACAGGACGTCGTTACACCTGTCACTCTGCAGCTCTGGCCGGCGGTTTAGAATATCACTGCAGTGCCTTTCTGACCCATGAGAGGACATCGGGCCTTTTAACTGTTGACTCCGACGGCGATTTCTCTCCAGTGTCCCACGGTGTCCGTGTGTTCTTGATATCCATTAGACTCAGGGACTTTTTTCAGTATTGCCGTGCAAGCTGCAGGGATGTTGCCTCTGTGCTCTCTTTCACTATTTCATTAATTGGGAACACTGTGGGTTTGTTTTATATTATAGCGCTGTATTTCCTGGCTAAACTAGACTCCATATTGTTCCTATTCTTTTCCGTTTGAAGAAAAAAGACTCAAATAACGTGAGACTGTGTAACATATTGAAACGATTTCTCCATCTTTCTTCTGCTGCTGCTGGATATATATGACATGACACCAGCGCACACCATTGGCAGGAGTGACTGACATTTCAGCCAATACTGGTCGAGAGTTTTCTTCCCTCTGTTGTCAGCAGTGGTTCATCAATCACTGTGTCCGCATTAGTATTAGTGTATTGATCTGGCAGGGCTGCTCTCTTGGTCGGTGTCTCTCTCCGCTGCCCTCGTCTGGGGCCTCACACAGTTCCCCTGCTTCCTGTGCTGAATTTACTGCTCCAGCCAAATATGTCTAATTGCGCTGTGTGCGCTCAGAAGGCCGGATCTTATTCAACACATCCATGTCCTACTTACGTAAGCTCAAAAGCACACGCGCGCCGATGCACGCCGGGCCGTATGATGTATGAGGCCGAGCTTACCCAGGCTAAGTGGTAGTCAAAGCGTAAAGACAGCCTGGAGTATTAGCTCTGACAATGAGGCTGATCATAATTATCTTAACAAGGACGGGATTCGCCTCACCTCGTTAAAGCTACCGCCTGTCTGTCCCTCTCTTGCTCGTCAGAGACTTGAGGAAATTCATTTGATCACGCCTTCCTCAGGAAATCATAATTATTACAATTTTTACAATTAAGTGATACAACAAAAAAAATGTATAGTCCAAAATGTTCTCGATTTGTTTTTCATAGCTAATGATATACATGAATATAAATGATATTACTGGACTGTATAAAGCAACCCAAACATGTTGGCAGTAGTATTTACAATTGCAATGGAACCCAAGATGCACGTTTTCATTATTACTTTTGAGGAAGTTGAGTTACATCAAACTAATGCTAATAAAACTAAGATTAGAAAAATCATTTCTGTGTTGCACGTGTGTTATGCACGTGTTGGCCAATTACCAAACCTGTACAGCAATGTGACTCAAGGTGATTATCCTCATTAGTTTCGTTAAGACCAAAAGCTGCCTCTTTTTCTTTCTTTTCTTTTCTTAAGGAAGTGAAGTACTTTTACTGCAGTGCTTCAACTTTATTAGTTTTCCAAACCACACATTAAAACAAGAAAGCTTAAAACAAGTAATGAAACCAGAAATGGAAATCTGCAGAGGGAGCACAGAAAGCTAGAGCGTATCACAAGTTCAATCCCTGCACTGTATTTAATGCTGGCTGGGAGTCAGTGGCTCTCCCCTGGCTGTGAATTTAACTGATTAAATCAGCCAGTGCACGCAGCAGTGGTGACATGAAAACAACAATTAATAAGGCTCCCTCCTGCGCCATGCGGCTCCCTTTAACCGAGCAGCTAATAAGATAACCCACAGGACTGCAGCCCATCATACACAGAAACACACACGCACACACACGGGCATGCAGACTTACAGGTGGCAATAGTTAGTTAGCAACCTCTTTTCACAGAAAATGCAATAATGTTTATTCAATATGGTGTGTGCCAAACGGTACATTTTCCTCGCAAATTAATTGCATGTTTTACCGTATTCCCTGGAAATTGAAACACAATAACTCCGCTAAGGAAAAGTAAAGTTTGTTTTATAATTGCTTGTTTGGACCAACAGGCCATTCAACAAAAAAAAGAAATTTATAAAACACCGTAACAACAAGCAACAAAAAAAGGTAAAAAAATCTCATGGAGTTTTTGATTTTTGGTCTATAGATTTAAGTATTCTAGCTTAATGGGTGTTTTTGCTTTCATAAATGAGGAACGGCAAAGGATGTCACGAAACTGGCACATCTCCGTATTCATCCCTCTTGCCAATGCATTAATCAGACCTGATAAGAGGTTGTCAGCTAGCGGCTTTGCCACCACACTGACTAGGTGCTGTCAGCTGTTGTTGTGTGTATCAAGTGTGTGTGTGTGTGTGTGTTTGCAAAAGGTTGATTTTGTTTGAAATGAGGCAGCTCACTCCGCCTCACTCGCAAGTCTACTGCGTACCGCTTATTTGTCGCTTTTCACACGAGAAGAAAGATGCATCATTTTGCTTTGTAGTTCAAAGTTTCTGCCAATGTGTCCCCTCTGTGCATCTGCGTTTTGGCCAACGAGGCTGTCTGCATGGAGCTCCAGTTGATTGGCTAGAAACCGAAAAAAGGCAATTAACAGCAAATGGCGCAAGATAACAGTTGATCTGGCAAACTGAAAGGGTGTGAATTGCAACATGGTAATAGTCAGGTGCATATGTGTACACTGCAGTGCCGTCATCTTTTTTTAATTTTATTTTCATTGCCTTCTTAGTTTGAAGTGAAGTTCACATAATGAATGTGATTGCATGTCATGCCCTGCCCCCATGAAGCTCACTGCTCGTTGCCATGCGTTTGCAGATTGTCATGATCGAGGTGTTACATTTACATAGCTCGAAGTTGGTATGTGTTATGGCAGCTATTGACACTAGGCAGATCCAGAAAGGAGCAATAGTTCACACCGCGCCTGTGAAGGAACCTGACTGTACCTTGAGATTGTCATGCCGCAATGTGACACTGCTCACAGGAATTTGCATTTACGTAAGTCTTGTCAATGTGTTCTGTTTGATTATAGAACTAGAATCGGATTCCAAACATTCTGATCTTGGGGTGAATTATTTTTATATTTTGACATATATTAAGTAATAATAAAAGCTGTGTTTTAAATATGAATCCGTGTGCATGTGTCACGTTCTGGCAGGTTTAAATGTCGATGAAGTCACCCAGGACACTTTAACATGGCGCGCTGACAGTGTGAAGGATTAGACAACACACACGCATTGCTTTTTGTGCACCTTCCACGACTTGAACTTCGCAGGGCTCTAACATTACTCCTACCACCACCCTCCATCACTGTAACGCCGGTGTGAATGCGTGTGAAGGAGACGGAAGGGGACTGAGTTGAGACGAACCTTCACCCCTCTTTGTAATTTGTCATAAAAAACAAACAAAAAAGCAAAGTTCCCCGTCTTTTGATGCTAAAATCCCAACACTAATAACTCCTATTGTGGTAAATTTGCCAAAAAGTTTCCCTTCCATTCCATCTGTGATTGCGAGTACATTCTAGTTCCTCTGTGAAAATGATGGATGACAAGTTAAATTTGTGTCTGGGGAGTGAAGGTGAACTGTGACAGAGTGATTTGTCTTGGGAATGGAGGGTTAGGGTCAGGCGAAACTGGGCGCCTCAAGGCACAAGACATTGACAAATTCATCCTGCCCGCCGCATTTCTGAAGCCTTTTGTTTTGAATCCTGGCTACTCACAAGTGACCCCCATCCCTCATCCTGCCAGCCGCTGAAGGATGCCTCACCATGCCTCACCGTGCCAGGGGAGCTCAGCACCACTAATTCTTGTCATTCACTTCCCTGACAGGACCAGACCCGTACTGGCCCGGCGTATGAAAGAGGGATGCTGAAATATTTCTGCACAATAACAGCGGACCAGATTTAGAGCCATAACAGTTTTGCTGTTGCCGTGTGTGTTTCGCAGGTCACTGGCGGGTCTCGAAATGTTCACCGCGCTGGAGGAGCTGATCGTCGACAACAATCTGCTGGGAAATGACCTCCTGTTGCCCAGGTTACCCAACCTCCACACCCTCACGCTCAATAAGAACAAAATATCCTTTCACAGTGATTGCTCATTTCTTATTTGCATTTGAAATTCACTCTCACGGCGTAGATAACAGACACCGTCACCGTGTATTTTGTTTATATTCATACGTTGATGAGACTTACACTTGTAATGTTTTAAGTGTTGTGCTTTTGTAGAGAGCGCTGTGTATTTCAAAAGAGAGAAGAGGAACTCTGTCACAGAGCTCCACACTGTAGTTTTTGAACCACAGGGACCTCTAGTGGAATCCGATTAAAAGGTCAACATAACAGATGTTTTCTTTTTAAAAGGAACAAAAAGTGTTGGATTAAAACTAGCCAAGCATCCAAATACTAAAACAATTTTTTTGCGATGTGTTTCGACATCATTTATTTTAAATAGTAGAGAATCAAATCAGGATATTTGAAGCTTGGTTTGTACCATTGTACATGATTACACTTTTTTACCTCATTAAAATAAATGTTATTTATTATTAAATTATTAATTTGTCACTAGAACACACCCTTTTAGTTCACTGATTCTCGCAGTTCCTTGTGTTCTACTTTACATTTAAAAAAAACCACCCCAAATTCTAGACATCGGCACATTGCAAAGCTGTTTATGATCAGTCTGAAATGTGTGAACTTCCCGTCGAAGCTTCAGAACAGGTTTAGCAATGTGTCCTGTTTTCCTCTGGTTATGCAGATCCTGCTGGGTAACGATGTTCACTCTCTTGCTCATTCACACACACACACACACACACACACACACACGCATCCAAAGTCAACATAAAAACTGGGGCTCCTTGAAGTGTGCGTCTGGGACTGTGTGCTGAGTTGGGTTGTGAAGTGGTCGGCACATGCTAATAGGCCAATTATGTACATCCTGTCGTGGCACAGTGCCATTTTAAAGCTTGAGCACTGCATTAGTGCAGTTGTATTTTGACACTTCGGGGCTCAATTTTCCAAGTGAATGTATTAGTGATGAATGTGCCTGCTTAAGGGCTGTTTGTTTTTTTTCCACGTTTTCGCAAAAGTTTTCCACAGCACGGCTCTGGGAAGCACGGACCGTTTGAACCGCAGGGCATCCATCATTTTGTCACTGTTCTGCACCCAGGCCACCTAGGAAATGAAAGAGATCGAGAGAAAAGAGAGAGAGAGAGAGAGCGGCAGCCAAATCGTGTCACTACTATATGCCAAAGCCTGCACCTTAAATTGCCCCTCTGGCTGCCCGGTCGCACAAAGCCACTGACTAACCCCTTTGAGCACTTCGCTAAATTTGACAGTGATTTGTTTTAGTGCGGACAGGCACGGAAGGGGCCACGCGGGTAGTAAATGCTAATGTAATTAACAGCGTTAGGTCCTTGACATCCGCCCTTTGACACCTGACTGATATCGAGGACCTGCTGGAACACTTGGCTGATGTGACCCCGTCACTGGTGTACCTAAGCCTGCTGGGAAATGAGGCCTGCCCCAACCAGCTGGTCAGCCCGGATAAGGATGAGGACGACTACCAGAGATACAGGTCAGTTACTACGCGGACTGTGACGGCGACGTGGCACATGAATAAGGCACAGCTTTCACACATGACCCGTTTAGATGGATGGAGAGATCGTGTTTAGGGTGGGGTGTGTTTTTATTTTCTAGTCAGACAGTTTTGATCCTGAGCTATTCAGAGTCGTAGCTTTTGGTAAGTAATGGATGTGGAGATGTTCCTTTTTTCTAAAACATCCAGCCCCCCCCCCCCTACATTTCACTTGCAGACTGCGGATCCAACCACATCACTCTAAAAGCTTTGTCAACTGGCCCCTCTACACTCCAGTTTGCAAAATGGATTTCATGTGTGACTAGTCGCCACCACAAATGAGTGTTTACTACCCTACCTTACCAGAACAGATGATGCATTAAACATCAAGCCAGGCCTGGAGCCATGCAATATGACCACCATTTGTCAGGGTCCTTTACATGAAATGTGATAAAAGGCGAAAAGCACACTCTCTTTTGTCTGTTTTTGCCCTAAGTGCTTGTTTCTGACTCTGCGTTGCCTATTAATCATTTACCACCCATGCCTTTCTTGAATAATCTTTCTTCTCTCCTTTTTTGCCCCCCCCCCTCCATCCCCCTCCTCGCCTCAACCCTCGCGCCTCCCTCTCTCACTTTGCCTCTCCAGCTCCCCCCTTTCCCCCTCGCCCCGCATGCTTATCTTTGCCGGTGAGGAAAGCTGTTCTGTTTTGACTGACAACGTCTAGAGTCCTGTAATGTAATATTCATAATGTGTCACAGAGTAAAACATCAGTTTGAGCGTGATGCAGATTTCATGTCTGACAAGGTTAGGCTGTGTGGAGGTCGTGACAGCATTGGCCTTGGGCAATAAATACCCAGCCCAATGCCCCGAGAGGTCTGAACTACCCTCGCGCGTTGCATCGGTGCCCCAATTAGTGCAACGACACAGAAACACGGTATTCTTTCACACAGCATGCAGTGTGGCTGGAGGTTAAATGGTGTCCCGTTCTTTAGCCGGCCAATGTGGCCATTTGTGGTACTACAATAATACCAGAGTTCAAGGCTGTAGTATTATATGTTCACAAAGGCTACTGATTATGCATCTCCTCAGGAAACTATTAAACTACTGATATGTATGTCAACCTCTTTCTTTTCTCTTTGTTTCTGCATTGTTTAAATATTAACATGTCTCTTGATGCTCTTTGGGGAAAGTTATCAGTTTGTCCGATCTCGTTTCGTTTCACATCAAAGAGCTTTGGCCTGAGGTCCCTCAGCCACTGACTGTAATGCTCACTCAACCTTTTTCTAATGGCCCTCAATGTCACTTTTGTTATCCTCCGTAGATGTGATACTAGGTTAGTGATTGATAACTCTTTTATTGGAACTATTATTCATCAGTAATTCCTATCAAATATTGGCAAAAAGTGTTTCTTTATTTGGAATTTTCAAGCAAAATACATTGAAATATCAAGGGCAGCTTCTAGCAAATAAGTATTATTTATTTATTAACCTATCCAACCATTTTCCTACGAATTATAGACTGTAAACAAAAGTACATTTGAGGAAAGTATGATAGCAGCATAAATCTATTTTATCTACAACATCCACCTCCAAGGGCAGCGGGAATCCCATTGTTGTTATCACATGTTTGAAACGGCTAAACAAAGTGTGTGAGAGTGAGTTTTTTCTTTCCTTGCAGTCCCCCCTCTCCCCCACCCTCCCCCCTCACCCCCTGTGTGCTCTCGGTTCCTCCCGCTTTGGTGGGTGTGAATCATTAATATCCCTACCGGCTGACAGAGCCTTGTCATCGGCTCTGACCCTGTGATGGTGGGTTACCTACGGAGAATAACCTCCCTGCACGTCTCCCAAGGGCATCTTCACGTTTCATCATGGAAATGCCCCCGAACAAAGTCCTCTTACAGGGAGGGAGACACAGGATAGGATTGGGGGCTCTTGAATTTAAGTGCTGGTGCTCTCATCGGAAAAGGAGCTCTTATTAGGAACAAGTCATTTCACCCTATGCTGATGTTTTTAATTTAAGGCCAAATGTATTTTTGTGGATACGCACTCTGTTTTGTGTACCTTTCAAACTATTTCAGAGGTTTCGCGCATTGCGTTTTGCATGGAGATACCATCCGTTCCGTGTCAGTCTAAACGTGATCCCTGCATCCCTTTCTTATAATCCTCAAGTGATGAGAACTTGACACGAGCTTTGCCATCTCCCCTCATCGCCCATTGCCCGTCATCGATTTGTCCCGGCTCTTTGCGCTCAGGTCTCGTCTGTGCCCGCATCCCCCGTCCTTTCTCACCCTCCACTTAGGCGCTGAATGCATGTCCTCTTTGGCTACCGGTTCAGCCCTGACATGCTGGTTCCTCTATCCCTGCCTGCCTGTGAAAGGATCTGTTGTCGTCTATGTATTCCAACCATTATCTTTTGACGTTTCTCTCCCTACCAATGAAAGACAAGAGTGTGTCTGAAAGCTTCGAGAGATATCTGTGTTGATGCTGCCAGAATGACAGCTCTGGCAGACGGGTTGTATCTCCTTTTGTGCTATTTATATGTCGTGCTTATTCTTATCAGCTTTGAAGGTTATTACATGCAAGAAAATATCACCATTATATCTGCACCTACATTAAATCTCAGTAAACACGGCTTCTTTTCAAGTTTTGTTGACGCATGTATTTACATATTAGTATGCGTGTCGGTTTGATTAGCGAGTCACTTCCTTAGAATCTATGTTTGTCTCGTTGTTAAGAGCCGGCTCACCGCGGGACCTTTTAAAGCAGTGCTACGCTACGGCTTGAAGTTGAATCGTTGTTTTCCCCGTAGGTACTTTGTCCTGCACAAGTTGCCCCAGCTGAAGTTTCTGGACACCAGGAAGGTAACTCAGAAAGAAATGATGGAGGCGCAGGCAAGAGGAGCATTCATGAAAGTGGTCAAACCAAAGTCGGAAGCAGTAAGTTAAGCCCTGTTTATTCTATTTTTTTGTGTGTGTTTAAAATAGTATTCCCTGTGAAGTCTCTTTATCCCTTCTTTCCCTTTTACTATTCTTTCTATTGGCCTTTCTTTCTTCCTGTTCATGCTTGACTGTCTCCCTTAACAAAGGTCCTTGTAGTGAGGCCCTTTTGTGAAAGGTCTTTCTTTACTATCGCTTAAAGTGTATGAATGTGTGTGTGTGTGTGTGTAAATGTGTGACCACAGCCTGACCTGATTTCATATGCATGAGCCCAGATCAAAGACGACGGGCGGCTGTCCGACCCCGGTTGTGTTTCCAAGTGTGACATTGGTGGCGATTGGAGTGACAGCTCACGTACACGGCGCTCACTATCGCTTAATTATCCTGAGCCCGTGCACTTATTCCTCCCTCTCTTGTCTTTGGGCCACACAGACTAATTAGCGTTCGGGCAGTTCATAGATACAACCAATTCCCCCCCTCCCACTCCCCACACCCATGTCTTCCATTCCTTTGATAATGCAATATAAAGGAACAGCTTTTGCCTAGATTTAATTTCATGTTATTGTAAGGTCATGAAATATTTACTGTTTGGATGAGCTAAGCTTTGTCGCTTCAAGGTCTCTGGGGCTCCGACAGTGAGCCTTGGATGTTTAAAATGGAGCCAGAATAGCAGGAGCGACGGCATCCAATGACAAATCAGAAGCATGTGAGGTGATGTCGGGTTTAAAAGCGCACGAGAAAAGCATAATATTTATTGTTTCAGATAAGATAGTGTTCTGTTTTAGTGTCAGCTCATGCTATGCTTTGTTCTTGATTCTCCATGCAAGTGGCAAGCAGGAAAGCAAAACACTGAAATAATTTAACCTCAGTCTGGCATGTTTGGTAGATGGAAAAAAAAAAAGTGGAATGAAAACAATGTTCATCCACTTTATATAAAACGAAACTAAGGACCTCTACAATGCTTTTTGGCAGGGCAAAGTCACTTTATAAGATTTTATTTACATAGCTTGTCAGGGAAAAAGAAATGTTTGCCTTTGTTGCCACAGCCCTAGATGAAAGGAGAGATAATCACTGATTCTTGCTGACATGATGTGTGTGTTTTTCTGTCACTGTGTCTTTGAACCTGCTGTATATGATTATTTATTCCCAATGCAAAGTAAAAGGTTAGAGCTTTGATGAAAACGCTCCCTAACTCCCGGTGCACAGTACTTTCTGTGCCATATCATGCTTTTGCGATCCCACCGGCAGTTCCTTATTAGCAGTGCTCATTAGACAAAGAGGAGAATTTTTTTGCCGGGACGGATCCCGTGTCGGGGGCCCTTGAATGTCACGGCGGCATTTCCATAACATTTGTTTTGATTTAGACGAGACGTGACGCGTCAACTATCACAGACTTGATGAGCCGTGAGAACCTCCCGGCTCTAATTGTCCACATCATCAGAGTGATTGTAAGCTGACCAATAGCGCGGGCCCACCCATTAATGTCACGTTTGCAACGGAACAGGAGAGCGAGGAGCGATGATGGCATAATTAGATATTTGTGTTTTCTTTTATGTCTGGTACGGCCGGGTGTTGCTCATAACAGTGGCTCATGGTACAGCGTCTGCCATTCGCTTCATTACAAAGGGTGGTAATTAGCTGTCTCACTGTCGCCGGTGCTGCTGTTTCAGTCTCAATTAGGGCGAGTATTGGAGAGAAATAAATACAGTGCAACAGACGTGAATTAAATTGTTCATTCGTGACGTTTTTTTTGCTCGGCCAACACTTATTTTCCCTTTAAGACCTTTTACGACAAATTTACTTTGCTGCTGTTTACAGTGTAAAAATTGAAACCATAGAAATCGCAGCAACGGCAGCCGGGTTACAGTGAAACATGTCATGACAGCGTAAATCTAAAGGAAAAAAGTCCCTGCTCTATCAGATCATTCCCATTACATGATGTGCATATTGGAATGGTTAATGGTCTATTGAATTGACAGTGCTGAACTTTTGAGACCTCTCTTGAGTCATATCGGAGTGGATTGTGACCACAGTTTTAACTCCTTTTCAATCACGCCATAATGGCACCGGGCGCCACCACATGGTTCCGATAAAGCAGTTATGGTCCTTAGCACAATCCGAACACCCTAACCTTTTATGAATTCCCAATGTTTTCCATGTTGCCTGCACACAGAAAGCCAATGGCCCAGTGTTTGCAGGAAAAGACACAAAAAAACCCTGCAATCAGATAGATTGCAAAATGTAGGTAAAAACTAATTTCATGTATTAATGTATGACATCTTGGTGTCACAGAATCAAACCGTCACTGCAAAGAGATTGCCGTCTTGTGACAAAGAGGAAAACAAAGAATCATGCTTGAAATAGCCGTGCTCCCACAGTGAGGTTTAATTGTTATTGTGCGCCTTCGTGCACGAGTGGACATGACACCATAAGTGGGTGACAATGAGTTGTCGCCCAGATCTACTTTTTTTTTTTTTTTTAACCTCCCTCTCTCTTATCTTTGTCATTTCAGTTCATCGCCTCAGTTTCTGTCAAACTACTTGTCCCTTTTCTACTCGGAGATGCAATACAACTAAAAATCAACAGAGAAAATGACCCGTTCTGAATTTGAAGAACACACACACACACATGCACGCAGACAAGTTATAAATGACAAAAGACGAGCGAGAGGGAGATACAAAAATCTATATGAATAAAACAAAAAAAAACAAGACCGTGACAGTTGGAGTGTTTTCCCAAAACCACAACAAGCAGAGTCAAAGTGGAAAAGCCTTAAGCAGTATTTTGGGAAATTGGGCGTGTTGGAATGCTATAATGTGATAATTCTCTTTGAGGATTTAGAGGTCATGGAACAAAATGGTGATAAACCACACAGAGCCGCTTGGACTGCGTTAGGGCCGGTTTTCAGAAAATACATGTGGTACTTTCTGGCTCGGCTCCTCCGCCTCCCTCTGCTCTATGGAGCCCACATTGTGTTGCCGAACCCTTGCGTTAAACTCGCCGTGTCTATCAAAACAGCACATTCTGTTTCCAGATCCCGAGCTCTGCGTATCAAATCAAGCTGGTAGAATAACATTTACTTCCTGCCACATGGTTAAGAGCGTTTCACAGTGAATGAAGTCCACGGTCCGCCTTACCGAGCACAGCTTGTAGCTACGTCAGTGGGTATAAATGTTCCTCAAATGTCACTTAGATTTGGCCTGAACGAAGCATTCGACTTGATTTTCGAGCATGAACACAAGTTTTTCCCCCCACATCCTTCTGCGTATAATGTAAAGCAGACTCCACTGCCGGGTGGCTTGAGCCAGCTCCCGGATCCCATGAGTCTCTACACACAGGGTAACGGTTCTTCAAGGCAATTGACAGTGACAGAGCCAGGAAAGTCCTCAAGTGGATCTTTTCATTTCTGTTTTTTTCTTCCCCAGACACTAACCTGTTTTACTCTGCAGAAGAGGGTAGTTCATTTTAAGTTTGCGCCAAAGGGAACACTCTACATCTAGGATAGACCGCATGGTTTTAAACTCATGATTGGGCATCATGTGACGCATGATTGTGGCTTTTTAGCGAAGCAACACTCGGGGGGGGGGGGGGGGGAAAGGCATTTTCGCTAATGGCTGGTTGTTTTGCCCTCGTTTCAAGTCTCAAATGTACCCTGTAAAGTATGTCGCCGCGTTCTTCTCCGCTTGAGAGTTATGAGTCCCCCGAAGCTCTCAAACATAACAAACAGCATGCAATATAGCGCTTTGTGAATGTGCCTTCAGTGGGTCTCCTGAATCATTTTACTGAACAAATGTGTCCTCTGAGAAAACTCAAAGAACATGGTTCTCAACACGGGGGATGCAATATAACCCAACAGATTGCTGTAGAAGCAGGTTTATTACCAATCGTTGCTCTCTGCTAGATTCTGTATTTCAACCAGCTATTATACATACATACCTCTTACATGGCACCTTTCTTTCAGGACACATTCCTGATTCAATATGTCATACGCAGAAGGTCCAGCAGGGACAGCACTGTGGATAGAGAAGGTGCTGTGTCGAAGCTCAGTGCCTGTCTGCGTTCTGTTCAGACGAATAAACCCACTACATATTGTGATCTGCTTGAAAATGCGTTCTTTCTCCCGCCTTACATAATGTCTTGTTATAACGCTTGAGACGATTCATCTCTGTTCGCCCTCTTTCAGCGTCAACACATCCTAAATGTCAAAACAGCTGTTAATAATCGTGTTTAAGTGTTTAGTTTGTTTGACCGACAAAATATGTCTTTTTGAGTCATGTGTTCATTCCAACAGGCATCTGTGTTTGCCCGTTGGTATCTGTGAGTGTACGAATGTCCAGTGTTTGGACCAGTGCAACCAGCCTGGTTCTGAGCCTTCTGGCAGCTTAAGGTGAGGGGTCACGCAGGGGTTAAAGCCGGGAAAACAACAGCAATTAGAGGGAGTGACTCAAACTGTCCACATAAACCCTGCAGGTCCTGCATATCATAAACACACTGTAAAACTTTAAAACACAATTAATTGTAAGTAATAGTGCCAAGATTGATTTATTGGCTCCCTCAAAGCCTGGAGACACAGGGTGCGTGACCTCGGTGTCACGTCACTCTTGCGGGGAAAGATGACAGATGTATTACTCATTTTTGGCAAAATGAAGACCATAAAAAAAAAAAAACATGTGTCGCTGAAAGGATTTTATGAGACACTGAAGAGGCCACGTTGCATTTGCTGATTTTCATCTCCTTCTGCTGGCATCCAGCACAGAGAAGAAGGAACGCCTCTGCGGTGAAGCAGTTGTTGTCTCCACGTCTCTTGTGTTTAAGCTGTGGAGTTTGAGGCCTGTCAGAAAACAGGCCGAGGCCGGCCAACAATAACGAGACGTCTCTCGCTCCCATTTTGATATAAAGTTTTCATAAACTTTGACAAATCTTGCGATTGTTCGTGAAACTTTTCTCTTTTTTTATCGGTGCAATGTAAAGTCTTTGTTAAGTTTTTATTAGTGTAATAA